ACTCAAACCGGTGCGCCTGGTACCTACTACCATACCCCGTTTACCCCCTGAATGGCACAGATACACAATCCATGTCTCAATTGTCTCATTTACATTTTCCATTTTAGTCATTTAGCAGACGCTCTTATCCAGAGCGACTTACAGGAGCAATTAGGGTTAAGTGCCTTGCTCAAGGGCACATCGACAGATTTTTGACTTAGTCCTCCCCTTTATCTTCACGGATTGAAGTGGATTTAACAAGTGACATCAATAAGGGATCATACAGTAGCTTTCACCTGGATTCACCTGGTCAGTCTATGTCTTGGAAAGAGCAAGTGTTCCTAATGTTTTGTAGACTCAGTGTATAAATAGTATGTAAACATTATTAACGTGACCAGTGTTCAATAACTATGCTCAGAGTAGAGTACTCGGTGGTAGCCGACTAGTGACAGTGACTGAGGGCCATAGCAGGGTACAGGGCGAAGGCCGTCTAGTGGTGGCTGTTTAACAGGCAGTGGTTCGGGTGGCTGAGGTCTTCTTGGCCTTCCTGTGACACCGGATGCTGTAGATGTCCTGGAGAGCAGGCAGTGAGCCCCCTGTAATGCGGTGGGCTGACCGCACCACCCTCTGGTGAGCCCTGCGGTTGCGGACGGTGCAATTGCCGTACCAGGCAGTGATCAAACCCAACAGGATGCTCACAATGGTGCATCTGTAGAAGTTTGTGAGGGTTGTAAGGGCTGGTGTGAGGTGTGACCCAGGTGCTGTGCAGGATAGACAGTAGGCTGTAGGCAGAGATGGTGAAACAAGGATCTTTACTGGTGGTCCCAAAGCCAGGATACAAAATAACAGACTTAACACGATAAAAGAAAGGCGGAGCAAATAAGTCTCCAAAAATAGGCTGACAGCCAAAATACGAAATGGTAACTACGACTGAAATAATAAAGAAACAGGGAAAACACTTCTCGAGTACCTGTACATACTTCTCCGATCAGACACTGATTAGTACTGCTGAGCATAGAGAAACTAGCAGAGAAAACTGAGCAAGGGAACACAGGGAAGTGAGGGCATAAATACACAGGTGAACAGGTAGACACAGGTGACACCAATAGGATCATGATTAGTCCAGACTGTGAGTGAGGAGGTGCCTAAGGTTGTCGGAGGATGACACCTAGTGGGTCGCTCCGGAACTACGACCCCCTCCTGTAACCAGGGTCTTATGGGCCAAGCCTTATGAACAAGGCTAATGACATCTTCAAATGGGGGGATACATCTATAAAGTGCTTTGATTTCTAAACTGTAAATCAGATATGTATGAAAATACCCTCAAATAAAAGGTGGCTTTCTGTACCGTCGTCTCATATGAAACATTTGATCTCAAATCCAAAATGCTGGAGCATAGGGCCAAATGTAAAATGTTAGCGTCACAGGCCAAATACACTATATATACAAAAGTATATGGACACCCCTTCAAATTAGTGGGTTTGGCTATCTCAGCCACACCCGTTGCTGACAGGTGTATAAAATCGAGCACGTAGCCATGCAATCTCCATAGACAAACATTGGCACTAGAATGGCCTTACTGAAGAGCTCAGTGACTTTCAACGTGGCACCGTCATGGGATGCCACCTTTCCAACAAGTTAGTTCATAAAATGTCTTCCCTGCTAAAGCTACCGCGGTCAACTGTAAGTGCTGTTGTTGTGAAGTGGAAATGTATTGGATAAACAACGGCTCAGCCGCGAAGTGGTAGGTCACACAAGCTCACAGACCGGGACCGCTGAGTGCTGAAGCGCGTAGAGCGTAAAAATCATCCGTCCTCAGTTGCAACACTGACTACCGAGTTCCAAACTGCCTCTTGAAGCAATGTCAGCACAATAATTGTTAGTCGGGAGCTTCATGAAATGGGTTTCCATGGCCGAGCGGCCGCACACAAGCCTAAGATCACCATGCGCAATGCCAAGTGTCGGCTGGAATGGTATAAAGCTCGAAGCCATTGGAGTCTGGAGCAGTTGAAACGCGTTCTCTGGAGTGATGAATCACACTTCACCATCTGGTAGTCCGACGGACGAATCTGGGTTTGGCGGATGCCAGGAGAACACTACCTGCCCCAATGTATAGTGCCAACTGTAAAGTTTGGTGGAAGATGAATAATGGTCTGGGGCTGTTTTTCATTGTTCGGGCTAGGCCCCTTTGTTCCAGTGAAGGGAAATCTTAACGCTACATCATACAATGACAGTCTAGACAATTCTGAGCTTCCAACTTTGTGGCAACAGTTTGGGGAAGACCCTTTCCTATTTCAGCATAACAATGCCCCCGTGCACAAAGCGAGGTCCATACAGAAATGGCATGTCAAGATCGGTGTGGAAGAACTTGACTGGCCTGCACAGAGCCCTGACCTCAACCCCATCGAACACCTTTGGGATGAATTGGAATACTGACTGCGAGCCAGGCCTAATCGCCAAACATCATTGTCCAACCTCACTAATGCTCTTGTGGCTGAAAGTAAGCAAGTCCCCGCAGCAATGTTCCAACATCTAGTGGAAAGCCTTCCCATAAGAGTGGAGGCTCTAATAGCAGCAAAGTGGGGACCAACTCCATATTAATGCCCATGGTTTTGGAATGAGATGTTCGATGAGCAGGTTCCCACATACTTTTGTCTTGTAGTGTACATACAGTTGAAGTCAGAAGTTTACATACACTTAGGTTGGAGTCATTAAAACTAATTTTTCAACCACTCCACAAATGTCTTGTTAACAAACTATAGTTTTGGCAATTCGGTTAGGACATGTACATGACACAAGTAATTTTTCCAACAATTGTTTACAGACAGGAGGGACTGGTGCACTTCACAAAATAGATGGCATCATGAGGAAGGAAAATGGTGTAGATATATTGAAGCAACATCTCAAGACATCAGTCAGGAAGCTTGGTCACAAATGGGTCTTCCAAATGGACAATGACCCCAAGCATACTTCCAAAGTTATGGCAAAATGGCTTAAGGACAACAAAGTCAAGGTATTGGAGTGGCACAACTTATTGTGGGAAGCTTGTGGAAGGCTACCCGAAACATTTGACCCAAGTTAAACAATTTAAAGGCAATGCTACCAAATACTAATTGAGTGTATGTAAACTTCTGACCCACTGGGAATGTGATGAAAGAAATAAAAGCGGAAATAAATAATTCTCTCTACTATTATTCTGACATTTCACATTCTTAAAATAAAGTGGTGATCCTAACTGACCTAAGACAGGGAATTTTTACTAGGATTAAATGTCAGGAATTGTGAAAAACTGAGTTAAATTTTTTTAAATGTATTGAACTTCCGACTTCAACTGTACGTATGGGAGTTTACTTAGTATACTATACTATACTGAACAAAAATATAAACGCAAAGTCTCATGTTTCATGAGCTGAAATAAAAGATCCCAGAAATGTTACATAAGCACAGAAGCTTATTTCTTGAAAAAACTAATTCACAAATTTGTTTACATCCCTGTTGGTGAGCGTTTCTCATTTGCCAAGATAATCCATATACCTGACAGGTGTGGGATATCAACAAGCTGATTAAACAGCATGATCATTACACAGGTGCACCTTGTGCTGGGGACAATAAAAGGCCATTCTAAAATGTGCAGTTTTGTCACACAACACAATGCCACAGATGTCTCAAGCCACCTCCAAAGTCATTTTAGAGAATTTGGCAGAACATCCAACCGGCCTCACAACCGCAGACCACGTGTAAGTAACCATGCCAGCCCAGGACCTCCACATCCGGCTTCTTCACCTATAGGATTGTCTGAGACCCATTTTATCAATGGCAATTTGAATGCACAAATATACCGTGACGAGATCCTGAGGCCCATTGTCGTGCCATTCATCCGCAATCACCTCAAGTTTCAGCATGATAGTGCACGCCCCCATGTCGCAAGCATTTGTACACTATTCCTGGAAGCGAAACATTTCCCAGTTCTTCCATAGCATGCATACTCACCAGACATGTCACCCATTGAGCATGTTTGGGATGCTCTGGATCTACGTGTACCACCAATATCCAGCAACTTCGCACAGTCATTGAAGAAGAGTGGGACAACATTCCATAGGCCACAATCAACAGCCTGATTAAATATATGCAAAGGAGATGTGTCGCACCAGATACTGACTGGTTTTCTGATCCACACCCCTACCATTTTTTTAAGGTATCTGTGACCAACAGATATTCCCAATGATGTGAAATCCATAGATTACCCCCCCCCCCCCCCCCCCTTTTATCCTTTTATGAAAGTGATATACAATCCACAGATAATGATCATTGTAAAATATATCTCTCTTGGAGTTGAACACGTAGGCAGTATTCTCAACACAGTTGGACTTCTGTCATGTACTATACTCGTGAAACGTCTACATAATCAACACTTTCAAATTATTACAAATTGTCACAGATGAGCTGAATATTATGGTGGCCATTTCAGATTTTGTTTCTACAAATGTATAATTAGGTGGGTGGCTGGGTGGGTGAGTGAGTGCTAGAGAGCGAGAGAGAGAGATTTGGGATTTCAACCGACCCCCAAACGACTGCGTGATGTTGCAAAATGCTCAGTGCGCGCGGACGTCGATAATGTGAAGAAGGCAGGAATGGAATAAAAACGGTGGTTTACAATGTTTTGCCTTGACTAATAAATGTAGCCTAAAGACGACGCACTGACAGAGAGGATTTACACACTTGCCCAAACCACCTAAAGATGCTTTCTACAGGTAGAATCTTTGGAAACCTCCTTGAGAAGTAGGCTAATTCACATTGGGGGTTTTCAAGCAGCTTGAATGACGTCTCTCAAGGAAAGGGGGTGAAAACTAATCGCGCATGGTGAGTTATTCTGTGAGTCATTCATTTGTTTTATGCATATACGATTTTTTTGCGGAGTAGAAGAGGATTAATAAGGAAGGATAGCGTGTTTGCATTTTTCTTCACTTCTATGTGTCGATCCAACGGTTCTCGTTTTATTCGAGGAGATTTTTAGTGATGATATGGACTCCTGGTCGACCGAGACGCAGCAGGCAGATCGTAGCGGACACGCCAGACCCGTCACTGCGCTCATGTGAAGTTGGCCTCGGCAAAAAGGATGTCACCCAGTTCTGCTGGACCTAAGATCAAAGAGCATTTTTTTAAAGGCTGTTCGATCTGTTCGATCTATTAGTTCTGTGAAATAAATAATAGCGTATGCTTTTTCCTCAGATGGTTATGATCAGATCCCTTTTACTTTTACTGTGAACAGGCTAATAGGTGTTGCTCTCAGTGCTTTGGATAGCCTACAGTCATAAATAGTTTTGTGACAGCGGGACCCTTGAGTAAAGTCTATTTTATTGATGTTTTCTCAGACAAAAATGATGTCAATTGCCTCGTTTACCTGAGCGATCTGAATCCTCGTCAACGGGTGTTTTTCTATTCAACAAGCTACGCCAAGCACTCCTGGCAGTCAAGTGATGGGCGCAGTTTGCCTGAGTAGGAACCGAAGTCGTCTCGATTTTTTCATCCAGCTTGTTGAATCTCCTCCTTGGTAATAGGAATTGACTCGTATTGACAAACTCCACTGCCATTTAAGTCGTAATATAGTCGGATTGCAGCATCCCGTTTCCCTAGAACTAACTCAACCGTCGGAGCGTCATGGCTCGTTACGCTCTCGGACCGAAACAAAACCCTCGCTTTCTATGGAGAGTGTTTTGGTTGACAAGAACGTTGGTGGATTTTGCGCTGTCGCAGGAGGTTTACGCACCCCATTCTATCCGGATTGAGGGACATTTGACCCTCGGTGGCCTCTTCCCCGTGCACACCAGAGGGGCCGACAGCATGCCTTGTGGAGATATCAAAAAGGAGAACGGGATCCATCGGCTGGAGGCCATGTTGTATGCTCTGGATCAAATTAACCTCGATGATCAACTTTTACCCAACATCACCCTAGGCGCCCGGGTGCTAGACACTTGTTCTAGGGATACATATGCGCTTGAACAATCATTAACTTTCGTTCAGGCTTTGATACAGAAGGACACTTCAGATGTGAGGTGCACCAATGGAGAACCGCCCGTGTTCGTCAAGCCCGAGAAAGTGGTTGGAGTCATTGGCGCCTCGGCAAGTTCTGTATCGATTATGGTCGCTAACATTTTGCGCCTCTTTCAGGTGAGTTCAACTCTGGAAATTCCCCCGTAGGCCTATCTGTGGATGAAATGTAGTTTTAGTTTAGCTAAATGTGTTCGAAACAACATCTGTAAGCTAGTACTATTTTATTATGTTATTTGACAATCTGTAGCCTACTTGTTGGCCTTATTGTGTTATATTTTGATCCTCTATTTTCTCTCAAAGAAAAGAAACCCAGAGAATCCTCGCCTCTACAATTCCAAACAAAACCTTGGTCAGCCTACTTCTCAAGTGCTCCCTTTGTTACTTTGAGGAGAATGAGAAAAGGTTGAGAGAGTTTCACTGGGCTGTTGCGCTTCCCTGGCGGTGCTGAAAGAACAGCTCCCGCTTCCTGGCTGCCTCCCTATCCCTCCCTCTCCCCCAGTCTGCCGTTCCCTTTCTCCATGGTGGCCTGAATGTGCTTTGAAGGGGCTTCGACAGACTGACACACTCACACCCATGCACTAGTAAAAAAACACTATTGTAACTGAATGTCGAAGGCTACACACATCACCAGCTGTTGTTAAGTTATTTCAGGCATCTTTGACACCTGATGTGGTTCTGACATCGTAGCACAGGCTAACTGTTGAAGTTTCAATGTATTCAATTTCTTGAGTGAAAATTAGGTCTCCCCAAGCTGTCTATTTAAGTAGCCTACAATGATTTTGTGCCCCATGGTTATTTCGATTTTATTTGAGATGGTTGTCAATGTCACCATGTCAACATGGCTAATTCCAGAATCTGTAATGTTTTAGTTTATAATGAGACACATTGACCACAGTAGAATGTTTAAGTACTCCCTGTTTTCTTCACACAGGCCTGCATACCTCTCCTTTAGCCTTGTTGTGAGTCAACAGCAGAGCACAGACATACAGACAGTCGACCCACAGTTAGTACTGCAGTGGAATGAGGCACCCAGCAGAGCTCAAATACAGCAAATGAATGATAAAAACCACATGTTTAAAGCAAATATATGAAATTACGTGAAATAGTGTGCATAAATGTGCCACTGTACAAGCCAACATCTAAGCAAGTTCTCTTGTCTGAAGATATAAGATGTGGTGTTCAGAAGGCCAAGAAAACATGAGAGTTAGTGTTTGCGGAAGTGTCTTGTGGTTACAGATTGTGATTTACAGTCCATGCCATAATTGGTTTTTCCCAGATCAATTAAACCAAGCACAGCCCAGGACTAAGTAGACTAAGTAGCTGTTTAAAAGAGACTGAAGCCATCAAAGTACTTAACATCCTTTTAGCTGCTTTATGAAAGCCACACACACACACACAAACACACACACACACGTGCGTACGCACACACATGCACACACACTATTACCCCCTCTTTCTTAATAATACCAATCTTCGCAAGACCAATCCAGTCATGCTGGTCTCAAGGGATTTGTGGCTCTGTTGGGTGGATATGCTGGTTGATGGTTCCAATAATTGGCTTGGTTGGCTTTGGCATTCAATTCCCTCTACCATTATCTCTGCAATGTTGGAATCAGGATTCTTTGTTAGAGTGAAGGCACCTGAAGGACAGTGATTGTTTTGCGTCTTTCCCAAATGCAAGTGATTATGTCTAAAATATGTTCTTTGAGTATAGCATTACAACTCATCCACATCATAAAAAAGTTATGGGGGTGTCAGGGGACTTGGAGATCATTTAAGATTCCTTGGGGGGAGGAAGGATGGGCGCAGTTTTCCTGAGTAGGAACTAAGACCCTAATTCTGTCGTCTCCAGGTGCTCCAGTGTCTGTCTGTGTGTCAGGCTGCAGCAGTAGCGTAGGTGGGGTGTGTGCTGTGGCACCGGAGCGTCGGCGTAGTAATCAGGCTCGGGGAATCAGTGGGTTGACAGGCGCTGTCACAAAGCTCCTTCCTGCATTTGCTCAGGCAGTCACTCTGCATTTATGTTAATTACCCTCACGGCACCGCGCTGGCTGCTGTCGTATAGCTGATCCCCACAGTCAAACTCTACACAAATCCCGGGGAGGATACAGCAGATCTGATTAAAAGTCTCAATTTTCAACTGATTTCAATATCGAGACAATATGGTCTCCTTTAAGTTTTTGCTCTTTCTCTCTCTCACATGTTCTGGTCATGATGATCATATTGATAGTAAACATTGATCAAGATGAATTGGCTATGAGTCCCAGTGGTAATCAATATAATCTGGGGATGACAGCTCCCTGCTCATTTACACTCATCAGTCTCACTGCAACTGATTCATTTGTGATAGCAATTACAAGTTTCACAGATTCTTTTCCACTTCAATCCATCAAGTTGAGAATACATTTTCTCAAGAGCAGGGTGAAACACCTGTTCAGGCCTGATTGAAAAAGCAAGTGCAATTTCTGGTTTTAAAATTGGGAGAAAACGCTCCCTACTTCATAGACGACATCTTGTTCTATCAGACAAGCTGCACCTGATGTCATTTTCTGGACATTGTCAGTTATAAAGAATATGAAGTAGTCGGTGCTTGAACAACTGGAGTTGAGGTGCTAAGTAAACAATACATAAAGTCAAATACTCTTCATATAAATGTACAATTATTTATTTACATTAAGGTTAAAACATTGGGATGTATCGGTCAACCATGATCTTTGTCATAATCTCTTAATATCCAGTCAGTGCACAATCCCATAAATCGTGGAATGTGGTGGAATATTCTCTTTGTCTGCAGTGAAACTGTACGGACAGAGTCACAGAGGGGTCAATCATCTTCATAGAGCAGTGGATTAATGTTGTAGTCCTTCAGTGACGATCTCAGTGAAAGTCACCATATAACCCAAACATTGTGTTCATCTCCCTCCTGTGATAAATGGAACATCAGGGAAGTTAAATACAGATTGTAGGTTTTATTGCCAGACACTAAATATCGCTGTTGTCTATTTAAGGTGCGAGTGGCCGCTGAATTGTTAATGCTGGGAAATTGACGAGGGATAGATTTGTCTGAGGACCCAGGAGAGTTGATCAATACTGTTACCATGGTAAGGTTTTTATTGCCCTGGAAATGAGAAACAACAATGCCACCAAAATACAAAAAAATAAAAACAATTGCACAAAACGTTTGAATTAAGACGCTGTGTTCAAACAAAGGTGTTGTTCTCAACCTTTGAGAGATCATCTTATTGTTTTTCAGCGCTCTCTGTTTTTGAGACATTCTCCCACGCTATGAGAAAAGCCTCTGCCTCTTGGCTTATGGAATGACTAGTGAACTAGATTTTTTATCCGGCTGACATTTATATCAGAGGAGGCCTGCCTGCTATTTTCTTCCTCTCTTTCCCAAAGAGAGAGGCGTAACTTGTATTGAATGCAGGTGAACTCTTTCTTGTCCTTCTGTCAGGGGACTGGGCCCCTGCGGACTGGCTGTCTAGGTGAAACATTGATGTCCTCTCCTCTCGTAGCCTGACAGGCAAGGTACTGTTTTTATCTCTCGCCCTTGCCCAAAGAATCATCAGTACAATCGAGGCATGCTAGATTGAAGCCTGACAGACAGACTGATCTATTAAGCTGACAGCCGGAAGCTCTGACAGACACACAGACATGTAGGTGAGATGGGTTGCATAACTGGCACACAAAGCTGTCACCAAATTTCTTAGGTTAAATGTGTCTGCTTGTTCCAAACCCAGTATGCCATTTGCACATTCATGCGTGTGACAGCACATGTCAATTAGTCCCATCAAGGGCTCCTTTATTTTTGCCTCCAGCGAGTATATGTCAACCGTCAAGTATATGGTCAGACAAACACCCGCACACATATGTACAGTTGAAGTCGGAAGTTTACATACACCTTAGCCAAATACATTTAAACTCTGTTTTTCACAATTCCTGACATTTAATCCTAGTAAAAATTCCATGTCTTAGGTCAGTTAGGATCGCCACTTTATTTTAACAATGTGAAATGTCAGAATAATAGTAGAGAGAATGATTTCTTTCAGCTTTAATTTCTTTCACCACATTCCCAGTGGGTCAGAAGTGTACATACACTCAATTAGTATTTGGTAGCATTGCCTTTAAATTGTTTAACTTGGGTCAAACGTTTCGGGTAGCCTTCCACAAGCTTCCCACAATTAGTTGGGTGAATTTTGGCCCATTTCTCCTGACAGAGCTGGTGTAACTGAGTCAGGTTTGTAGGCCTCCTTGCTCGCACATGCTTTTTCAGTTCTGCCCACACATTTTCTATAGGTTTGAGGTCAGGGCTTTGTGATGGCCACTCCAATACCTTGACTTTGTTGTCCTTAAGCCATTTTGTCACAACTTTGGAAGTATGCTTGGGATCATTGTCCATTTGGAAGACCCATTTGCGACCAAGCTTTAACTTCCTGACTGATGTCTTGAGATGTTGCTTCAATATATCCACATAGTTTTCCTTCCTCATGATGCCATCTATTTTGTGAAGTGCACCAGTCCCTCCTGCAGCAAAGCACCCCCACAGCATGATGCTGCCACCCCCGTGCTTCACGGTTGGGATGGTGTTCTTCAGCTTGCAAGCGCCCCCCTTTTTCCTCCAAACATAACAATGGTCATTATGGCCAAACAGTTCTATTTTTGTTTCATCAGACCAGAGGACATTTCTCCAAAAAGTAAGATCTTTGTCCCCATGTGCAGTCGGTTTTGGAGCAGTGGCTTCTTCCTTGCTGAGCAGCCTTTTGGGTTATGTCGACATAGGACTCGTTTTACTGTGGATATAGATACTTTTGTACCTCCAGCATCTTCATAAGGTCCTTTGCTGTTGTTCTGGGATTGATTTGCACTTTTCGCACCAAAGTACGTTCATCTCTAGGAGACAGAACGCGTCTCCTTCCTGAGCGGTATGACGGCTGTGTGGTCCCATGGTGTTTATACTTGATTACTATTGTTTGTACAGATGAACGTGGTACCTTCAGTCGTTTGGAAATTGTCCCAAGGATGAACCAGACTACATTTTTTTGTTTTTCTTGGCTGATTTCTTTTGATTTTCCCATGATGTCAAGCAAAGAGGCACTGAGTTTGAAGGTAGGCCTTGACACACACCTCCAATTGACTCAAATGATTTCAATTAGCCTATCAGAAGCTTCTAAAGCCATGACATCATTTTCTGGAATTTTCCAAGCTGTTTAAAGGCACAGTCAATTTAGTGTATGTACACTTCTGACCCACTGAATTATAAGTGAAATAATCTGTCTGTAAACAATTGTTGGAAAAATGACTTGTGTCATGCACAAAGTAGATGTCCTAACCGACTTGCCAAAACTATAGTTTGTTAACAAGAAATGTGTGGAGTGGTTGAAAAACGAGTTTTAATGACTCCAACCAAAGTGTATGTAAACTTCCGACTTCAACTGTATATACACACACACACAGAGAATATAAAAAGACAAACCTCTTGTGGAATTTTCTTGTTTTGTGCCAGGGGTTTTGGCACTTGTATTTTCTCTACAAAGCTAGCCTTGCTAATTGGCTTTCACTCTGAGTGTGACACAGAGAGCTCTCGGAGAGTGAGTTTATTCTCCTAGATACAGGAAAACGCTGATAAGAATGATAATTTATTCAGACTCCCAGGAGCAGTTATTATACCGAAAATGGAGCCCTGTTAGTGTACAAAAAGGTGGATAACGCTCAGCATGATTAAGCAAACACACGCAGCCCCTCTAGGTCCTTTTAGAGCCCCAGCTTTGAAAACAAGCCCTGTTTTATACTCGTGCTCAGCCGATCGGACATGTATGCACCAGAGGAGGCTGCTGGGAGGAGATATAGGAGGACGGGCTCATTGTAATGGCTGGAAAGGAATACGTGGAATGGTACCAAACACATCACACACATATAAAGAAATTGGTTCACTCTGTTCCATTGATTCCATTCAGCCATTACAATGAGCCCATTCTCCTATAGCTCCTCTCACCAGCCTCCTCTGGTATGCACATAATGTGTAGGTGACTAATGTAATAAATAAAACATTCCTCATTCAAACCAGCTGTCATTGTGGCTGACATGTGGGGTCCTGAGGTCAGACATTTCCTGTCAGGGAGAGATTGGGAAACCTTGTTTGCCCATTAGTAGGTCCTGGATATGCCTGAGGGGATGGGGGAAATGGACTCTCTTATTCACCTTACATCAGAATGTATGTGGAGTCATGTATGTTACATGTATAGTTCCACCCGAATACCGGTACACATCATGTACATCCACACATAAAGACTGATCCCATAAACACTTTCTTTGCATCCATCAGGCATGTCTTAAAGCTACATTTCCCCTGTATTTCTCTGTATAACACCACATCTTATACTTCAACAACCTCAAAGTACCTCGTTCCTCGCCCAGCCCGTAAGAACCAATCCAAGGTATAAGGAGAGAATGAAGTGGTCTTTCCCAGGCTGCAGTGAGTGGAGGGCAGGCCAGTGTTGACTCTCCCAGCCAGCCAGGCATTACCACCCAGCCTCTCTCGACTCTAGAGAAAACAGGGGGCCTACTTAACAGCTTAACTCCCCTCACATTGGGGTCAATGCACTTTTTTCCCCCAAAACGTATTGTCAGGTTGACCGTAAAATGTGACTTTGAGGATGGAGTTGAAGTTGTGTACAGTTGATCTGGCCAGTAGAATGAGTTACAGTAGGAAACCCATTACATCCAATCCTGGCTCTATTGTGTTGGGAAGATGAGTGGAGAGAGGGATGGAATGGACTCTGTTGTGTTGGGAGGATGAGTGGAGAGAGGAATGAGGTGGACTCTGTTGTGTTGGGAGGATGAGTGGAGAGAGGGATGAGGTGGACTCTGTTGTGTCGGGAGGATGAGTGGAGAGAGGGA